TTGCTACTCGAAAGAGACGCAAGCACAAGAAAAGAATCATGTGTGGCCTTCTAAAGCCCTTGTTGATGCGACAAGATTAAGTTACTTGGACTTGAATCTCGCTTGGAATTAGCGGTTTAATTATTATAGTGCAGTTACACTTAAGAATATAAGATGTCCGGGTATGAATTACGTCCAGCAAGCACGTAATTGTACAAAAATGTTCAGTTAAGGCCTCAAATGCCAAAATACAGAAATTCGGCAGAGACAATTAAAAGCATTCCTGCACGCAGCGCATTCCTACAAGCATTCCTACATCACGCTCCCCCATAGCACAGGAGCGGCGAACCCTGCCGACTTCACGACGGCTTCCGTGACAAAGCATTGCGTTGATGTGCTTTTCTTTGTGTTTTATTTCTGAAGCGCCTCAATCGCGTCCGCTTTGACCTTGAGCGCACCCGCCGGCTTCCGTGACGAGGCATCTGTGTTGCTGTGTTTCTCTTCGTGTTTTATAGGGAATAGGAATTTAGGTTCCGTTTTTCTGCTGCAGACGGTTACAGACAACGCTGGCTTCGCTCCATGAGAGTTAATGCTTTCAAAGAAAATGTTAAAACATTTTTTTTTGGTTGAATGGGTACACAAGTATGATTAGGGTCGTGGATACAATTAGCATGTGCTATATGTGAAAAACATACGAGGTGCAATAACATTTCAACTTTTATACTTTCACACAGTTGATGTTACTACCCTTTTTTAGGGAAATTCAAGTTGAACCTCGCAGGCGGCAAGAAGTCTCCTAACGATCACAATGCCTCCCTTTGTTCAACAAACTGATACTTGAGTAGGGCTGCTATACTCCAGACAAAGTGAGAGTCAGCACTGACTATCTTTCGGAGAGTCGCTCGTACACTCCCATGACTCTTTTGCGATAGGAGTCGGGGGACTCTTCATAAAAGCAAGGTCCTCACAACTCTTGTCACAGAGTCACGGGGATTACCAGGAAGGAGTCGTGTGACTCTTTTTTTCCGTTGGATAAGACGAGTCGTTAAAGAGTCGCAGTTGACTACGTCACCTGGAGTCGCCCATACACTACCATGACTTCAGTGTGATGAGAGTCGCAGAACTCTTTTTTTTTTAAATAAGAGTCAAGTGACTCTACAAACTGGAGTCATGGAGGAGTCAAATCTGCGGCGCGCCAATACCCCCCAATGAGAGTCATAGCGACTCTTTTTTTTGTTTTAAGAGTGTGGTACATTACGCTCGTAGCTAGAACAATGCTGGTGACGTCATCTGGATATTACACTTTTACTCTGAGGCTAGAGTGCTTCAGTCAGCGGAGGATTCTCTCGTCAACGCTTGGTATGGTCGCAATGGAGCATTTTTGAGAATCGCAGGTCCAGAAGGTTCCGGTAAGGGCGGCCTAAACCAATTCGCAAAACGGGCGGAAGCGGACCCTGGAGAAATCCGGGAAGAGAGGAGTTATGTCAACGGTCACGTAAACGTGACGTCTAGCGTGTCCAAAGTTGAATATATTGAACTTTTCCGACCCCGGACAGCGCAGGAGAGCCCCTCTGCCAATCAGGGGAAGGCGGTCCAACCGCTTCCCCCACCTTTGCTAGCTGATGTCGTGAGGTGATGCGATTGCCGGTCAAAATGTCCATCAAGACGAAATGACCACCGAGTCAAAATGTCCAATATTGAACATTTTGACTTTATGTACATTTCATCTCGATGGACATTTTGACCTGTATTGACATTTTGACCCGTTAAACAGTTTACATCGTTGAGTCATATTTTAACACTGGTGCTGATACCGACTTGCATACGTATATACACACGCATTTTTTGCAGAATTCGTCGTAACCTGACCACTTGCACAACAATGACTGACTTTTAATTACCATTATGGCCCGCTTAACCTCCGCCACAACGTGCCCTGTGGTTGAAACAAGATGCCGAATGCCCAGAGAAAATTGCTAGAACATTTCAGAGATGCGATCAATTAAAACAAAAATGTCAATGACAAATTAGGGCGTGTTCTCTTCACCTCAGTTTAGCAATTTAAATCAATCATGAACACCCAGTCTCGCGAAGCATTATTCCCACACTAATGAATACGCAATATACCACTTTAAGTTTAAAAAAATTACCTTTTTTTGTAAGCTTCTGCGCATGCGTACATCCCCTCTCCTGGCCTTGCTTCCCGCTGTCGCCATTTTTGCAGGGCGAAATTCCGATGAACCAGCATATTCAGCACCTACACTCTAAGAAAGGAGGGGAGTTCGAGGGAGTTAGACGGCGTGACAACACCCACAGCGTGCGCTAGCACCCCTTCGGAAGGAATATCCTCTCTCAAATAGAAGGAGCGAGCAAGGGGAAAGAGAATGGGGTGCTACAAGAGTCCCCTGGGGATTCGAAAGGATTATGGGAAGGGAATGCCTGCCCTCGGGCCAGGCTTCCTTTGCGAAGGGGGAACGTGGATGTCTAGCCTTGAGAAACTTAAATCCGATCCTGGAGTTTATGCTTTTACTTTATTTCTTGTTTTCTTTTTTGCTTCACAGATTCTTTGAAATTGCTGACGTTCCCTTTTTCTTCGTTTTTCTTTTTTACGTTTTCCTATTTACTTCCAAGTTCAAAAAGTTACCCGACTGTTTCATAGAGGGCGCTGGCGGGCAGGTCAACGTTCCCTACGGGAGCCAGAGTTGCGCGTTCATGCATGGTATGTGGATACAGCTCCTCACGTGACTGAATTCGGCGAATAGCAGCGCCGCGTGCTCAAAAGCCGGGAAACGTACGCCGGGGCGCGTGCAACGTCTACTTTGCTGCACGACACTTGATACGGCTCCTCACGTGATCGGACCTCGGCGAATAGCGGCGAGGGCGGCACGCGGCACGTGGAATCAAATGCGCAAGTCTGACTCCCGTATGGCGCTTATACAGGAACTCTAGATCGACTGACCGACACACCATGCCGTGGCTTACATTTTGCGAGAGCGAGTTTTTACAAGCTTACGGTTGAGCATGTAGCCTTCAAAGGAGGTTTAGATCGGTCTTGTTTACGCTTCTGATAGAAATGTCTTAGTCGCTGGTCTGATTCAGTAAGATAGAGGACACAAACCAATGTGAGACAATCTGGGTAGCTAAAACGACAATAAAAATATCTCGCCATTAATTTGTTTAGCGGTGGGATACACTGAAAGGCGCATTCCGGTGACAACCAATTTAGTCAGCTGCACGCGCTGGCGACCGAAAAACTTTTAACTTAGGAAATATATAGCAAAAAAATAAAATCGTGGAGAAAGCGTGAAGACAGCATTTATTTTAGATTTGAAGTTTCGCGGGCACGACGTTCTTGCGAACTCTCGAAGCTTACCCGATATTAATTTATGCCGCGTTTTATATATCGTACAAATAAATTGTGAAATAAAAAGCCCGCGACCATACTAATTCAAGGCACAACTTTTCACTAAGTTTTTGTTACACAGCACCCTACCTCGCCCAACCGAAGTTATTAGTGCTGAGGAGTCAGGACATCGTGGGAATTTTTCACTTGGTACGATGACCCTCTCTGTTCGCGTTAGGATATTTTAGGGTAAAAACTTCTGGGAGCCATTTTTTTTTATTTTGTCAGTTTGAGAAGTTTCTTGACTGCTTCATGTACGGCGCTGGCGCACTGCCTGGTGGGCCGAGACGCCATTCCCTAAATGGACCTTTTCCATATACCGACGGCCTCAGGCGGTGGCTGCGCGAACTAAAAAATCGAGGAAGTGACCTGTGCTACCAATCAATAATGGGAGCTACGCTACCAGTTTCTTCGCTCTCTGAGGTGCGGCCACGCGAGCGGTACAAAGTACGCACCTAGGGACTTTCATACCTCGTGATCAGCTTCGTAGGGAAAACCAGGGGGAACCGGGGAACCCGCGAAAAACAAGCGAGCAAAGATGGCGACGGCGGCGGTCGGGTGTCGGGTGTGGAAGAGGTAGTCAGAAGCATAACGGTTCCAAAGATGCCGCAGGATTGCGCATTCGGGAACTGCAAGAACGTCGCGAAACGCGGCAGCGGATGCCGTTTTTTTTTGCTTCCCATCCGAACGGCTCCAACGCAAGAGGAGGAAGCTCTGGATCGCTGCCGTCACTGCTGTGAATCGAACAAACGAAGACGGTACTCCATGGCTGCCGCACTCGAACTCTCGAGTCTGCAGTGCGCAGTTCATAACAGGTAAGTTGGAACGTTTATTCGAGAGGGAGCATCTCTCATGGGCAGGGCGTGTAAGGGCTCGATAAGTGCAGCGGCTGTTGCGCTGACAGCAGGCTGGACGCTCGGCGTCGTGCCCTTCTCGTCGCGGCGCTTAAAGTGCCTATAAAGTGCCTTAAAAGTGCCTACGGGTCTACTGGGTGCAGCTGCCTCACCGATGGGTGCGTGCAGATCGTCGTGCACTCTACGGTACGGGACCTCAGCAATGCACGCGCCAGACCCATGTGTTCGCGACGAGTACGGCGCACGACCCGTCAGCTCGCGCCGACCACCGCATCAAACTGATTCAGTGAACCGCCATGAGCATTGTTTGAGCGCGACATATAATTCGTGGTTAAAAGAAATGGATCGTGACTATGCCGTCGCAAAATCTTGCTTGCAGTCACGCCATATTAACGAACGGGGTGTTTCGGTAACGTGGTCAATGCAGTGATGTTTTTTTCTACGTTGACAATATAAATTGGGATGTGCTGCATCAACTTGCAAATGGCAACAGCATACCAAATGCAAACGTGGCCACCATCCAGGTAAGCCATCTCGCTGCGCCACCCATCCGGACTATGTGCCGAGCATCCTGGGGTGCTATGTTGCGCTTTTTGCACTCCCAGGAGACTAGGGAGAGGGAAGTGACGTCAACGACACAGCAAACGCAGATTGGGTGTTGATTTCGTTTTCTTCTGTCAACATCCAATCTGCGTTTGCTGTGTCGTCGACGTCACTTCCCTCTTCCAAGTCTCCTGGGAGTCCAAAAAGCGCAACATAGCACCCCTGAATATCCCCGTCGCTGGTGCCCGAGATCATGGTACGTGAAATGTTTTTCTTGATATTGACAGGTTGCAAAACTCCTCTCTGTTTGCAATTCGGCTCTCTGTTTGCAATTCGGTCCTCCTCTCTGTTTGCAAAACTGCCTCAGGCGTAGCCTTTACGTATTCCTTGCTGGTTCTGCAACCAGCAAGGAATACGGATATGACGTCAGGTGTCAGCCATGTACACTTGGCAACAACATTTTTTGGAATATTAGAAGGCACAGGGGGACATTAGAAGGCACAGGGGCACAGGGGGAATTTTTCTGGAGCCTCCTCTCCCTTCAGCCATCTATGACCTCTTGTCATGCCCCCCCTCCCCCTGTCCCACCCCCTCCCAAACAAAATCCTGGCTATGTGCCTGCCTACTATTGTGGTATCCCAATCTTATGATGTGATGTTTCCCACAGGTTTAACAGCAACCCGACCGTTGCAACTGCATGACAATGGAGCCCAATGTTTGGCTTAGATATATGACATTTGCAATTTGTTACATTACCTTTGGGATCCTACAAGAATGCAAGACCGTCCGCATTAGTCTCTCCCTTATCTCTCCCAGGTCCAAGTGGCGTGCCAGCCCTCCAGGACTGCGACCACTCGCACTCTTCTTCTCCAGAGACCGACTGGTCACGGGATGAAGAAATGCATGCGGCGGCAGGTCTGTTTGTTGTTACTGCACGTCCCTTACCCCATTTTGACAAGGGATCTCTGCTTCTCTCATGCCGCACAGCGTGTAGACCCTTTCCGGAATTCAGTGCCATCTGGTAACTGAAATGGCAGTTTAACTTTTACCATACTAATGGCGGAAATGAACCTGTGTTTTGCAGTATTTTATGGTGCACCGTCACTTTTGCAAGTCAACGGTAAACGAGAATGTGCGCTGCACGGTATAATTCTTTTTCAATCTCTTTCAATGTTGATGGCGAAAAAAATGAAACTAGTCGGAATGAAGCATTAACCGACAGACTCCTTGAGGAAGCTCTATACATCTTCAAAAGTGGAAACAGTGCAAAAAAATAACAAAGGAAGAGTAAAAGAATGGCACGGACACAGCGCTGTGTCTGTGCACTTCTTTTACTCGTCCTTTGTTAATGTTTTTGTGCTGCCTCCACTTTTTAAGATGATGAAACAACTCGCCCAACTTACCACCTTCTATACATCAAGGGGCTTTGAAGCCGAGTGTTTGCTACTAAGATATTTACTGAGCCCGAGTTAGAAATGAACACTTACGCAGATCTTGCATCCAAATCCTACTTTACGTCGCGCTAACGTCTAGAATGTATTGGCCTCGAATCATCTGCTTAGGAGCATCTTCAACTTCTTCCTTCATCAGTAAAAAGAAGGCTGCCATTATAGTATAGCACATATGCCATTTTTCAGATGATGATAATGATCAAAGTGGCCAGACCGAATTCTGAAAAGGGTCTATTGAGAGTGTGCTACAACTTTTACCCCTGTGGTGTTTGAGAGCACCATTGGTTCGTCTGTGATCTCTTCCAGGACCCAGTGGCATGCCAGCAGTCCAGGATTGTGACCCCTCGCACTTCCCATCTCGCGAGACCAACTGGTCACGGGAAGAAGAAAGGCATGCAGCGGCAGGTCTGTTAGTTGCTACTGCACATTCCTTGCCTCATTTCGACAAGTGATCTCTGCTCCTCTTTTGCCGCACAAGGCATTGAGAGTGTGCTACAGCTTTTACATTTGGGGTGTCTGAGAGCATCATTGGTACGTTCGTTATCTCTCCCAGGTCCAGGTGGTGTGCCAGTCCTCCAGGACTGCAACCACTCGCACTCCCCTTCTCCAGAGACCGACTGGTCACGGGATGAAGAAAAGCATGCGGCGGCAGGTCTGTTTGTTGCTACTCTTACCCCATTTTGACAAGTGATCTCTGCTTGTCTTGTGCCGCACGAGGCATTGAGAGTGTGCTACAGCTTTTACCTTGGGGGTGTTTGAGAGCCCCATTGGTTCGTCTGTTATCTCTTTCAGGACCCAGTGGCATTCGAGCTTTCCAGGACTGCGACCACTCGCGCTCCCCTTCTCCAGAGACTGACTGGTCACAGGATGAAGAAATGCATGCAATGGCAGGTCTGTTTGCTGCTACTGCACGTCCCTTGCACGTCCCTTACCCCATTTTGATAGTGATCTCTGCTTCTCTTGTGCTGCACAAGGCATTGAGACTGTGCTGCACGAGGCATTGAGACTGTGCTGCAGCTTTTACATCTGGGGCGTCTGAGAGCACCATTGGTGCGTTCGTTATCTCTCCCAGGTCCAAGTGGTGTGCCAGTCCTCCAGGACTGCGACTACTCGCACTCCCTTTCTCCAGAGACCGACTGGTCACAGGATGCAGAAAGGCATGCGGCGGCAGGTCTGTTTGTTGCCAGTGCTGGGCAGGGATACCCCAAAAAGTATTCGGGAATACAAATACTGAGATAAATGTTTTTTAAGACCAAAACACAGATACTGAGATACATTTGTCTTTATGCAACTGGATATCCCTGAGATACTTCAGCAATAACGCCGGAAAGGCATTCCAGAATACAGATACTCATAGAAATACATTTGTTCCCGAACGGTGCTACGTGGAGAGGGTGCAGTTCGTGGCGAACGCGAAAGGTAATTTATGCTTATGCTCTTTTTTTTGTGCCATTTTATGCACTGCCCACTACCTCGAACTCCTTGACTATCATTAATTCCGTTAAAAGAAAATGTCACCCCTGTTGAGCCACATAGTTACAGAACGGTAAAGACTGTGTACCATGCTTGACAAAAGGCATCCGCCTGAAATGAGCCCTGTTTTGCCGTGAGGGCACATCTCAAACTGTCACATTATAAGCTTCTGAGGCACCCATAGTGTTGGGAGATTGGACAACAGGGCCATACTTTTTCTCCACTCAACTCCTGTACAGCGTTCGCTCTGCTAAATTGGAAAGAGTGGAGGACTTTGTGAGAGGAGGTGATTTTGCTATTCTTGCAAATAACCTTCTTTAAACCACAATATTTTTTTTTTATTGTTGGTGACTGAGATGCATCATGTTATAGGGCAGGCACATATTATAAATTCCGAAGCAAGTTGCACCAAACAGATGTTCTTATCTTTTAAATTAAAAAGGGCAACAAATGTAACGAGATGCCTAAGTCACGCAAAGTATCGCGGCACAAGCGATAAATTGTAAATTGATTTTACTACTGAGATACAAATATATTTTACAAATATATCTCGATACAGAGATACTGATACTCGAAAGTATCTCTAAGATACTATCGCGCTACATTTGTATCGCGATACTGCCTAGCCCTGTTTGTTGCTACTGCACGTCCCTTACCCCATTTTGACAGTGATATCTGCTTCTCTTGTGCCGCATGAGGCATTGAGACTGTGCTGCAGCTTTTACATCTGGGGTGTCTGAGAGCACCATTGGTATGTCCGTTATCTCTCCCAGGTCCAAGTGGTGTGCCAGTCCTCCAGGACTGCGACCACTCGCGCTGCCCTTCTCCAGAGACCGTCTGGCCACAGGATGAAGAAAGGCATGCAGCAGCAGGTCTGTTTGTTACTATTGCATGTCCCTCACCCTATTTTGACAAGTGTGCTCGGCTTCTCATGTGCTCCATGAAGCATCCAGTGTGTGCTGCTACCATGGTGTAAGGTATACTCTTTAGGTGAAGACACATTGCAACTAAACGCATGGTGTGAGCAATCTAGCAACGTTCCGTCTACAGATTTGCGAGAGGCCGTGTCATCCTGCGGCCACCGGGCCCCACAGCTGACAGAGCGATCGGCTGGCCTGAGAGTGAAACTGTGATAAAAATAAACATGGGAGGCGATTTCTCAATGGGCTTAATGCCCACAAGTCAGCACTCGAAACCAGACAAGGGGCGATTTTTATCAGCACACGTTGATGAGTGCGCTGTCCACACCTGAAGAATATTTTTGCACTATGGCCACAACTTCTCATGTATTTTTTGTTTCTACAATTGCATTACAGTGCATAACTGCAGAACTGCTCATGAGGATGTCATAACTGAGGTAGTCAACAGCTTAAAGGAGTTGTGAAACGAATATTGAACTTTTTTTAATGTGCAGATTTCGAGTCTTTAGGCGTTACTCTGTGACCCCTGAATATTTTTTTCGTTCTCGGGAGCAGTTTCTGAGTGCGAAACATAAAAACATTCCGTGCGTAGCCTCTGCAGTTCCTGCTCTCTCAACTCGAAGGGTATGTCACGAACACCCAGCCCTTAAAGGGGCAGTGCAATGATTTTAATGTTGAAATAATTGTCGGCTTGCATTTTAGAGCGCAGCTCTTAGGCGCCCGTTTCCGGCTTGAGCGGCGTCGGCGTAACCAAGGTCACGTGACTCCGTCACCCCAAGGTCATGTGACCCTTCAAGGTCACATGACCCCCGAGGTCACGTGACTCCCCCCGCCGAGGTCACGTGACCCCCCGATGACGTCATCGTCCCTGATGACGTCACCGGCATCCGCATCGTCATCATCACTGATGATGTCATCGTCACTGATGACGTCACCGGCATCCACATTGTCATCGTCATCACTGATGATGTCATCAGTGACGTCACCGGCATCCGCATCGTCATCGTCATCATCAAAAGGTGATACGAATAATAGCAGATGTTTCTTACATTCATCATACCGAATCATTGTTTCAATTATATAGGATCCTTAACATACAGCAAATTTATAACTACCGTTTAACAATAGCTTACAGAAATGCTACTTACGGCCGTTCGAGTACAATTCTTCAACTATCTGAATTAAAAGAAACAGAGAATCATTACCCGTCTAGACATCACCAACCTTGGAAAATTCCGAAATGCAGGACAAATTATGGAAAACAAACAATACGTTATGGTTTACCTTTTTTGTTGAATGAATATTGTGATCAAAATATAGATGTAGTGAAAATGTCAAACAGCAGTATACTTAATTTGTATTTTAATACTTAAGAATGTATTCCTTATGTGCGCACTATATTTGGATTGTTTATTTCTGAACGCATTTTATTTGTTTTTGTGTTCCGTCATAGCTGCTGAGTGGGGGGTCCGGAGCTCGTCAAGCTGCATTTCTGCAGCTTTTTCTCCGGCCTCCCATTCACCACATGTATCTGTGGAGAGAATAAAGTTTGTATTGTTGTATTGTATTGTATCACTAATGACGTCATCGGTATCCGCATTGTCATCGTCACTGATGACGTCATCAGTGACGTCACTGATGACATCATCGGCATGGTCATCATCACGTGACCCCCCAAGGTCACGTGACGCCCCAAGGTCACGTGACCCCCCCTCAGTCCCCTTCCCTCCTCCCCCTCTAGAAGCTGCGCTCTAATTCGGCGTTACAGGGAGTTGTAAACGGCTTTCACTTTTTTTATATTGTTCATGCAAGCCCAATTGACCAAAAACGCGTCACCTTTCCCCATAAAACTGCTATTCTGCTGCGTAATCGCAAAGCAAAAAACAAATTATTTGCCGATCTGCAGTTGCCTGTCGGGGTTATGGGAACTAAAATTACACCGTCTCTGGGGGTACGCGGAAGTCAACAAAACCTGTCCCCCTCCGCTGCTACGCTCGCCGCGACCTTCAACGAGGCTAATCCTTTAAAACTCGACAATCGCCAGGAAGCGACTGGTTTCTGAAGAGAGAACCCAAGGGGAAACTATGTGAACCCCCAGAGTGCGTCACTCGAAAGTCAACGTGGAGAGTGGAGAGGCACTTCCACTTTCGATTTGTTTCATTTTTTTTTTTTTAAATTAGAACCAGCGCTCGCAAGAAAATACGGTTTTCTGCTTTTCGTTCTATAGGTGACGCGGATTAATTTCTTCAGTTAATTGGCCAAAGTCTGAAAATTGTTGCACATAGGAAGTTTCGTGGTTGAAAGCAAAAAGACACAAAAGAGTCGTAGAGCAGGTGTTCTACCGTCATATTTTTTTTCTGCCCATTGCCTTTAGTTTTAAAGCATTATTCAATCATTGTAAGCTGTTTGAAAGATATATATAAATATATATATATTGTAATACTTGAGAAGGGTTGATTTAATGAGGTGATAGTTGACTGAACGATGGCGGTCTCCGACGAACTGACTTCTTCCACTTCCTTCACCACAGTTACTCCTCCGTGCAGAAAGCACCGGAATCCGGCGTTAGGGTGCAGGACGGTGGTAACGCTTGAGGCGTGCAACATGAACGATGTCAGTTTGTTTTGAGCGATGGTCCGAGTGTGGGGAAACCGGCGCGACCTCGTAGTTGGTCGCGGAGATTCGGCGAAGTATTTGGTATGGCCCCTTGAACTTTTTGAGCAGCATGTCGCACTTGCCTGGCACTCGAGACGGTGTCCATAAGAGTACCTCTTCACCCACTGTGTACTCAACCGGAGTATGAGTGTCGGAATAGCGGAGAACTTGCTCTTGTTGACACCTTAATGTGTAAATGCGCGAAAGTTGGCGAGCTTCCTCCGCACGACATAAGATATCTTCAGCGTAACTATCAAGGGATGTGTCATCAAGGTAGGGCAAGAGGGTGTCCATCGTTGACAGGGGTTCACGTGCGTGTAAGAGATAATATGGAGAATAATTGG